CACTGTTCGAGCCCTGATGTACTACGCCTTGAAGGTCTGGAGTGATATCGCGCCACTTAACTTCCACGAGGTGGCAGGGAGTGATGCAGACATTCAAATCGACTTCACTAAAGCTGACCACAATGATGGATATCCCTTTGATGGGCCAGGGGGAACTGTGGCCCACGCATTTTTCCCCGGAGAGAGGTTCACAGCTGGGGATACGCACTTTGATGATGATGAGGCGTGGACCTTCAGATCTCCAGGTGAGGATATTTGCTTGTAGGTGTCAAGTGTTGCACTCATGGGCTTGAATATGCATGTCTTACATTAATTAGTGAAAGGCAGTGTGGGTCTAAATCAAAAGAAGGGTAGAAGATGGAGGGATGATGGGGAGAAAGGATATGGAGTGATATTCAGGGAAACGTCTCACTAAAACTTTTCTCAGAGACTCCCAGAGTGCTATAAAATGAGGAAATTGATGTGGAGTCCGTGTGTAGAAAGCTTAAAAAGAAGAAATTTAAAAGAGACTGAAAACTGTGTTGAACTTCCATGCTCGCCAAGACTTTTATATCCAAAACTAGAACGCTGACTGTATTTTGGAGCCAAGCTGTGCTTCTACCCTTTGTTCACGTTCCAGATTCTATAATTAATATTTAATATGTTAGAACTATGAATATAACATACAATGGCTTCAGATGCAGGACTCAGCGTAGTGACTAAAGCAGCGGTGATTGTTATCACAAGCTTATTAGGAGGCATAAAAGGCTTTTATTTCCGGCCACTGCCATAAACAAACAATTTACTCTAATATGCCACTGATAGATATGGATTCTTGTTTTTAGCAATTAACAAAAGAAATTGAAGTGTTGACTTAAATCGATCCCCTTTGATTGTCAAGCGATGCCATGGTGATTTGACAAGAATTGAGTGTTTTCTTAAATTTCTTAACAGATGACAAAAGCACCATATTTAGAGCGTATTAAAGTATTTTTACCTGACAGAAAAAATTTTTCTTTGATTTATGGCAATGAAAAGCTGAAAGGAATATGTCTCTACCAGACCTAGAAGCAACACTATAATCTGAAATGTCAACTAACAGCTACTCCAATGACAATCGATAAAAGCGTGATTTGAACACAGAGACATAGTGATGAGACTTCCAGGGTTGCGGACACGCTGTTTTGTGCAGAAATATCAGTCTGTCTTTGTAGTGAGGAACGATGTGTGAAAGTTGATTTACTGTACTCAAGTACAATTCTGAAGTGCTTGTACTCAAGTTGAGTATTTACATTTTTTATACTGCTACCCCACTACATTTCAGAGAGAAATATTGTAAGGATAAATACTTTTACCTTTAGTACTGCTGCTAATACTTACTTTACTTCAATACAGGATTTCAACTTGTAATGGAGTAATTTTACACTGTTGTACTGCTACTTTTACTTAGGTCAAGTTTGACAATTTTGGGAAATACACTTTTTTGCTTTCTTGTCCAAGAGGTCGATGAGGAGATTGTAAATAATAAGCTACCAGCAGCTGAATAACTTGGCAGCACAAATACTGGAAACAGGGTGAAACAACCAGCCTGCCTCTGTCCACAGGAAAAAAAAATCAGCAACAAAATTTGTATGGAGTTTTTTAACCATGGGACAGAGATAGGCTTGCTCTTAACGCCTGTTTCCAGTCTTTAGGCTAAGCTAAGATGGCCAGCTGCTGTCTGTAGCTTCCTAATTGATGTAGAAACTTGTGAGTGGTATCAATCTTCTCATCAGACTCGTTGCAAGCTAATAAGCGTGTATAACTCTTTTATATAAAGGATCTGAATCCTGTGATG